AGGGTACGAGCGAGCGTGCGAGCGTGCCTGTCTGCGTCGTCGTCACTCACTGGCATCGTCGGCGACGTAGCTGCCTTGCACCACAGCTCCACCAAAACTGTTTTCTGCGAATCCGACATCGTTGACGATTTCCGACTCTTCCAAGACGGTGCCGCACACCTCGCACGATAGCGTATTGCCAGAGAGTGCGGTGGTCTCTTGGCCGCACTGTGGGCACGCAGCCAACATGATGGCTGGCCTGCCCCAGGCAGAATGACTGGATGGGCGAGTGTTCGGTGTGCGAGCGTGTGGGGCATGCGCACAGCCACGAGCGCCGCGATGTGAGAGGGAGACGGAGCGATGGAGCGATGGTGATGAAAGTCAAAGAGACGTGAGTAGCGAGTGGGATGGCGACGTGCGGTGCGGTGGGGTGCGGTGGGGTGGGGTGCGTGCACTGGTGAAGCGATTGGATGGGCGCGCGCTCGAGTCATGAGGAATCCATGAATCATCACGAATCTTGGGCGTGCTTTGCGAGTCACGTGTTTGCAAGCTTTGCGCGTGCGGCACACGCGGTTGTCGCGCCAATTAACAGAGGTGTGAGAGAGAGACGCGTCGCGCGCGGGTGCGATAGCGGTTGCGGTCAAGTGCGCATGTTGCAGCAGCGATGGAGCGCAACGACAAAGTCGAGTCGCGTGCGTGCGTGTGTGCGTGTGCGTGTGTGGGCTGAGCGACGCGGCAAGATGTTGCTTGATTGCCACCACAACGTGCACACTCACACTCACACTCACACTCACACTCGCACTCACACTCGCGAGGAAGCTTTCGCTTTCATAGGTCTTTGCAGCCCCTTGCTCCACCGACACCCATCCTCTGCCCCCTCGTCCCCGCATCTGCGCCGGCGCCGCTATCATCATGGTGCACGCTCTGACGGCCGGCAGCATTCCTGCGATGGTGCAGACCATGGACCCTGCCCAAGCCGTGCCCGATCCCATCTGCCAAGTCTTGAGCGTGAAAAAGATTACGGCGACCAGCGCTACAGCACAAGACAGGTGGAGAATCATCCTTAGCGACGGCCAACATTTCGCCCAGGGTGAGTTGTGCGTCCGAGTGTCGGTGCGCAGACACGTGGCCCTGCTCTGTCTCTGCTGATCTTCTCTGATCTTGTCTTGTCACGCCACGCCACGCCACGCCACGCCACAGCCATGCTGGCTTCCCAGATGAAGCACCTCGTCGATGATGGTTCTCTGCAGCGCAACTGCATCGTGCGCGTCGAGCAGTACTCGGCCAGCAATGTCCAGACGCGACGCATCCTCATCCTCTTGACGCTCTCCGTCATCCAGGCACCGCCAGCCGAAGGTCGCTTGGGAGATCCAGTCAGCTATGAAGGCGCTACCACGGGAGGCGCAGTCGGTGCCCCTGCCGCCGCTTCTGCTTCTGCGGCACCTGCTGCGAATGGCGGTGGCGGCGGCTCGGCTGTCAAACGAGAGGTAAAGACGTACGCGCAGCAGCAACCTCAAGGCACCATTCGAGCCGCACCGGCGAGGAGCGCACCGGCATCCGGCATGGCCATCTACCCCATCGAGGGTTTGTCGCCCTACCAGAACAAGTGGACCATCAAGGCTCGCGTCACGTCCAAGTCGGATATCAAGCACTGGTCCAATGCGCGCGGAGATGGAAAGCTATTTTCCGTCAATCTCCTCGACGAGAGCGGAGAGATTAAAGCTACCGGTTTCAACGACGCCGTCGACAAGTACTACCACGTGCTGCAGGACAACAAAGTGTACTTCATCTCCAAGGCCAAGGTAAACATCGCCAAGAAACAGTTCAGCAACCTCAACAACGAGTACGAGATTACGTTTGAGCGCGACACGGAAATTGAAGAGGTGAGTGGGAGTGTGTGTGTATGCTGGCATCCACGTGCGCGTGTTCTTGCTCACGCATCGTGTCCCGCAGTGCACGGCTCCAGAGGGCGTGCCAGAAGTCAAGTACAATTTCGTGTCCTTTGATCAATTGGAAACGGTCGAGCCAAACGAGACGTGCGACATCATCGCCGTCGTCGACGACGTCGGCGTGCTTGGCGAAATCATATCCAAGGCCAGCCAAAAACCAGTGGCCAAGAGGGAGCTCAAATTGGTGGATCAGTCTGGCAGATCGGTGCAGATCACGCTCTGGGGCAAGACGGCAGAGACTTGGGGCACACCGCAAGGTCCCAATGGTGGTCTAGGGCTCGGCAACGAGGATAGGCCCATCATCGCTCTGAAGGGAGCCAAGGTGTCAGACTTTGGAGGTCGCAGTCTGAGCATGTTTGCCAGCACCTCGCTCATGGTCGATCCAGATCTGCCCGAAGCGCATGGTCTGCGTGGCTGGTACGATGAGGAGGGTAAACGCACCTCGGAGCACGGTGGATTCAAGGCTTTTGCGAATGGCCCAGCGGCAACGACGGCAGGCGGTGATGCGGGTGCGAATGCGCAGGAGAGGAGGACAATCGCAGAGGTCAAGGATCAAGGATTGGGCATGCAATCCGAAAAGCCCGACTATTTCAACACGAGGGCGACGGTGGTGTACATCAAACAGGACAATTTGTTCTACACTGCCTGTCCCTCTGACAATTGCAACAAAAAGGTCACGCAAGAGAGCGATGGATCTTGGAGGTGCGAAAAGTGCGATCGAGCTTATCCCTCACCGCAGTACCGGTGAGTCTTTGCTAGCGTGCCGCCCTGCGTGCCCTGCGTGCCCCGCTGACAAGCTCGCCTTGCAGATACATTCTCGCGGCCAATGTGCAAGACTATTCGGGGCAAATGTGGCTAAGCGGGTTCAATGATATCGGAGAGCTCCTCATCGGTCACACTGCCGATGAGCTCAACGACATCAAGGTGTGTCGACGTGACGAGAGAGATGCACGTTGTGGATGCTGACGGCGCGCGCACGCACTCACAGGAGCAAAACGAATCGGAGTTCCACTCGATCTTGCACCGCGCTTCCAACAGGCAGTATATCTTCAATTGCCGTGCCAAGCAGGACACGTTCAATGTGAGTTGCGGCGGCGCGAAGCGCGTCTTGTTCGCACGCTGATGCTTGCGGGCGTTTTGCAGGACACGACTCGTGTGAGGTACACGGTCACGCGCGCAAAGGAACTTTCTAGTGCTGCAGAATTTAGCAAGTTTGGTCTCGAGCTGGCCAACGCCATCAAGTCCTTGATGTGAGGGGCGTAGCATTGTTGTTGCGAAGAAAGAGGCGCGGGGGGAGAGGCGCCCCACGAGCTCCACTCGCTTCCTCATCGCATGCCGCGATTCGCCCCATGACCCTCTACGTCCACTCTGCTCCTGTCGCGCGCTTTGATTTGTGCGTGCTTTTTTGTGAAATCGATGCGCAAATGATAATGTGCGAGAGCAATGTGCTGTGGTCATGTTGTGACGCGACACGTAGAGCGATGCTGACGCGGCACACTTGGAACTCGACGGGAACGGTCGCTTCAGCAAACAAAACACAGTTATGGCCAGCACGCACACCGCACGCGTCGCGATAGAGACCGTTTTTTTCATTGCTTCGCACCACAATTGGACTCACGTAGTGCAAATTCGTCGGGGTGCGTGACACGAAACAATGCTCCGAGACATCTCCTCGAAGGCGGCCTTTGCGCGTGCGCCGACATCAAATTCATGCGATCGACTTGAGCACTCTCCGCCGCTGCAGCAGGATCACGCGCGCGATCGATTTCGTGACCTCGTCATCCATGCAGCCTCAAAGCACATCCATGCGATCCATCTCTCCATCGCCAAGTCCGTACTCGACGCTGCTGACCTCGCTCGCCCAATCATCGTCCTCGTCGCGCCTTGCGTAGGGCGCATCGTCCGCCTCTTCCTGTGCGTCGTTCCGCCGCCGCGCATACACCTCGTCGTCCCCCATGCCAGATCTTCCAGCGCGCCGAAACTCCCTTTTTCGAACAGGTTTGGGTACCTGCTCGGGAAGTGGAGCCTTCGGAAACGCTCTGATGCTGGCTCCCTTGCCCTTGGCAGACCAGCTCTTCTTGGCTTCCAGAGCTTCTCGTCCCTTGGCGTGGCCCCACGTACTCTTTTGCCCTGGCTTGGTCGACGCGGCCGCGGCCGCAGCCGCAATCTCTGCCTTTTCCGCCTCCAAATCCAGCGCTTCGTGTCCAGTCGCAAAGAGCGTCTCGAAATGTCTCGCTTGCCTGGCTCGAGCCGCTTGCCGTGCACCTCGCGTCTGGGGCGAAGCCAAGGTCAAGCACGCAAAGCTGGCGTCGTCTGTCGCGTATGAGGAAGGGCCGGAGGAGTGCTCGTGACGCGCAAGCAGTCGGCATACGTCTCCATCGACGTCGTTATAGTCGTTGTACTCGTAGTTGCCACTGGGAGCGCCGCGCCTTTGATACTGCCGCAAACGTATCTGAACGGCTGCCTCTTCGTCCTCTGCATCAATCACCAGCATCTCGGCAGGACTGTTTGCACGCTTGGCCACCGCATCTAGCGCTTCTGCCTCTTCGCGTTCAATCAACGCCAATTCGGCGTCGTCCATTGTCATTTGCGCTACATCGCCTTCCGCACCCGACTCGTCTGCATCGTCCGCCTCTGCTGGACTTGTCAATAGGGTTGCAGAGCTCGGCCGAGGTGACCAGCTAGGCTGACGTGCGAGCGTGTCGATCGATGAACCTCGTCGTCGCGCAATAGGAGATGGGTCGAAGAGCGCCTTGAAGCTTGCAGCGCGTTTCGGAGAAGACGCAAACACGCCATCGTCATCCGCGTCCATAGGTCCGACCGGCGAGCTGAGACTCCTTGCCCAGCTCTTTGATGCACTTGCATCTTCGACCTGCTCATTCTGGACCAGCTGTCCAGCGCCCCTCGCCCGCTTGCTTCTTGCAGGCGTGACGGGCACCTCTTCGCCTCGCAGACGTTTTCGAGCTTTTGTGCGAGGCGTAAATGTCGCGCGCAGAGCTTCCTCTATGCGCGTGCTCTGTCTCTGCCTGAGGTGTGCCCGGGTGTTTGGCGAGCGGGAGCTGCTGAGAAGAGTGCGCAATGCGGTCGGCGAATTGGAAGCGTACTGGCCGCGCCCGCTGGAAGGGGTGGTCAACACGTCGTTGAGGACTACGCTGCGCGCTGAAGAAGCCGAACTTGGAGTGCGCGTGCGGCGCACAGGCGTCGAGAACACTGCTTCCTTGCCGATGATGCGCTGACTGGTAGGTGTCGCAAACGGATTTTGCGGTGGTGTGATCGGGTTCGCTGGCGTGGCGAGGTTTTTGGGGGTGTAGCTTGCGCTTGCACCAGCGCCTCCAGTCGCACCATATCGCACTCGCTTCGTCGGTGTCTTGAACACTGCATCGTTTGCAGATGCAGAGCCATCCTTCTTGGGCTTGCTAGGGCCCGCCTTGCTGGCAGATTTGATGGCCGCCCACGTTTCGTACGTTCCCGCAATCTCCGGATGCTTGGCCATGTCCCTTTTCGTCGGGTCGCGACCGTTCTGGAGTGTGTGCCGCGCGGGCGTCAGCTCTGCACCACGATCGGGGCGCGTGCCGTCTCTCACCTTTTGTCTGAAATCTCTCTGCCATGCTTTCAGGTCTCGAGCGAGGATGGCCTCCATTGTGAAGTGCGTGGTGGGTGGTGAGTGGTGCGTGGTGAGTGGTGAGTGGTGAGTGGTGCTGCGTGCGTCACCACAGGGTGACAAAGTCGTGTGCGCGGTGATGGTATGAAATGTAATCCCACCGACGAGGCGTGCTTCGATTGGGGCTCGTGTGGCATGGATCGAGACAAGAGACACGAGTCATGAGAAAGACGCGCACGCACCGCCACACGCGACTTGCAAATATGTGCGGGACGCGTCGCGCGAGACGGCGAGAAAGTGTGTAAGCATGGAAAACACTTCATATATATACTTTGGCGCGAGGTTCTGCACTGCAGAGATATCCAAGTGGTTAAAGGAATCTGATTCAAGTTTACCCGCTTTCACGTGTATTCGTGAATCCTCAGACGCGTTAGCTTCAAGGGTTCGACTCCCTTTCTCTGCAAAATTTTGCCTACGCTCGGCAAAAATTGTCCCTACATTTTTAACACTGTTCTCTTGTCGTTCTCACTTGCTCTGCATTCTCGCAACACTTTGTCTCTCCTTTTCCCGACCAAAGACCTGCAAAATGAGATGGTAGGCTTTCTTAAATCAAGGGCTTGGGCTCTGAATGATACCTTTTCGCACGCTGTAGCGTGAGGGTGTCCCGTCGCACAAAAGGTGTATCCGGGTTTGAAATCCTCACAGCCAATTCTTTATGTGGACGGGCAAGCCTCGCATGGCAGTGTGCCTAACAAGCTTCTAATTCTGGCTTTTTGCCCCGCCTTGGTAGACAGGAATCGCCGACGTGCTCACAGGGTGAGCCGCAGAACCTGCCACGCTTTGTGAGCACGTTGGTGGGTCCTGGTGGCAGCATGGTGTTTGCAGGACAGTTAGTGACAGTAAATAAGAAGGTCTGAGGGAAGCATAGAGAAGTTAAAGAGTCAGCAGATTATCAATTGCGAGTCAGTAAAGAAGAGATTTTCGAGGGAAGCACATGGCAATTGAAAGTCAGTAAATAAGAGAGTGGTGAGGGAAGCAAAGACCAATTGGAGAGTCAGTAAATAAGAGTAGTTTGAGGGAAGCATATAGTAGTTGGGAGTCAGAAAGCAACTGCAGATAATAAAATTGTGTGAGTGTGTTAGTGCAAGTAAATAAGACAGGTGAACGAAGATGGAAGCAGGGGATGCATGCGTGTTGTAGGGGAGCAGTGGGGCATTTTAAGAGAGAAGTTGCAAAAAGGGACGATGACGGAGCATTGACAATGCAGAATTGAAGATGTCAAACAGGATGAAGGTGCGCATTGTTAATTACGTGCATTGGTCGTCAAGCAGGAAGCGGTAGGTGCTTGAGTGGAAGCAGCCAGTGAGGGTTAGGGTTACAAGGGTGGGCCGTTTTAGGGTTGGAGATGTTTGATAGCCAGTTTGTAGAGCACATTGAGGAGTGTCTTGTGGCAGAAAAGTTTTGGATTTGCGATAGCTGTTTTTGCATGGGGAGGCGCAAAGCGCAAGTGCGGGGTGATTTTGGCTGGTGGTGCCTCTGAAATTTGGGAATCTATGTGACCCTATACATATGCCCCAAGACTTTTACGACGCAAAAGCAGATGCGCAGACAAACGCCCTGCCAAAAAGACGCGCCGGAGCTCCATGGAGATGGACGGAGGTACTTTTACGCCGTAAACTGGGCGCAGACAGACGCGCCATACGCGCACCATACGCGCCATATGTGCTTGGCTGTGAGATCAAATTTGATCCCGCACACAGCACAGGTTTTGGCTGTGAGATCAGATTTGATCCTGTACTCACGGGTTTTGGCTGTGAGATGAAATTTGATCCCGCACGCACGCACACACACACGCACACACGCACACAAGCACGTGACCCCTGCGCCTGCACGGGTTTCTGCTGTGAGATCAAATTTGATCCCGCACACGCACGCATGGCTTTTGGCTGTGAGATCAAACTTGGTCGCACACCCAAGCACATGAGCGCAGGCTCTGGCTCACGCATGCACCAGTCTGGCAGTACAAAGATAGCCAATGTGACGGTGTGGATTTGTTGTCCCCTTTGTGAGCCTTGTCCCTGGCTATGAGGCAGCCTACTGGTATAAGTTGAGGATTTTACGCCGTAAACTAGACCCCACCCCGCCAAAAAGACGCATCCGGATGTCCGCAGACCTTGATTTGAAAATTTTACGCTGTAAAAGTGCGCAGACAGATTTCTGCCATACGGACGCGTGCTCTGCCATACAGACGCATGCTCTGCCATCCAGACACGCGCGCGCCCCATACGGCCATGCAGGCGCGCGCGCTACGCGTAAATTATCTGCTGCATGCATCAATTTGTACGCTGCACCCCAGCCTGCCGTGGTGGCCGTCACGCCTTTGTTGCGCACCAAACATCACTTGGATCACCTCATTGTCTCTGGCACCGACACTTTGACAGGCTGGTGTACGGCAAGCATGCTGCCAAATAAGATACCAATTACACTGTCAGAAAGCTGTGATAGGGGCATTTTGTGTGGTGCAATTTGCTTGCTCAGATGGTGCCTCAGCAAGCACAGAACATGCGCACAATCCAAGAGTGATGTGCGTCAACTTCTCATCAAACAGGTGCGCTGGCACCAACACTTTGAGGGCTCACTATGAAGGCTTTTG